CGCGGCTTTGCAGATGCTCCTCTGGAACCTCCGGCAGCTTGTTACCTTCTCGGTGTTTTTTCCAGGCGATGCCACACCTCCCGAGGACACTGGAGACATCGGGTTTTGCTGAGCTTAGCAGCTTTTCACCGTCGTACCAAAGGCATCAGACAGACGCTCATCTGCCCTGAAGTGCATATCTGCAACAGCTCCCGGGAAGACTCTGTCTCTCTGTCTCTCTGTCTCTCTTTTCTCTCTCTCTCCAGTCCAAACCATTACAAGACCTGACTTCCACCATCTGGGAATTTAACCCCTCTTATGTCCCTTCTCCTTTTTCTACGATGACTCACCATTATTTTTAACTTTGAAGAGAGAGGAAATTATGGGGATCTTGGAAGCCTGTATTTCTCTCTAGGATTTCCCCGGGGTCAGATAATCGGTGTTACTAAGAGACTAAGATTTGGCTTCTCCAGGTAATGTGATTTGTTTTCTGTGTGCCATGGTGGTTTGCAAAGGATGACAGGAGCCGGGACACCAGCGGCCGAGGAGGGGGACTGCGGTGGTCCGTGGGGAATCGCTGGCTCCGCATTCCAGAGCTTGGCTGCAGGCAGGGAGGGCAGCATGTCGCCCAGCCGCTGCTTCGTGGCTAGGGCAAGAGGATTGGGAAGGTGTTAAAAGCCGAGTTCGAGTTTTTCTGGAGGGTCGATTGCCTGAGATCGCACGGTTAAATGTTAATTAACCCTTCACTGCATGCCTGGGAATGAGCTGAGCCCGGCACCCCCTGGGGTCCCCTTGCCACTCTAGGTCTGGATGGGGTTATTTTTCTCTCTTCCTTTCTCTTCCCTTCCCCCTCTTTGTTTTTGGTTTCTTTCTTTTTAATTGGAATTTTGATTTTTAGCCAAGAAAAAAAAAGCCCTGCTTTGCCAATGCCAGTTTTTCCGTGCTGGTTTTGAACAGGTGATGGTTCCTCAGGTGTTTTCTCTGTTCCACCTAATGGGTTTAGAGGGGAGTTGTTGAACTCTGTATCACAGAAGGCAAATTAACCCCACAAGAAAGGGCATAGACATGCTAGTGAAGGGATCTGCTCTCCTCCCCCCAGCTTTATTCCATCTCTCTCTTTCTCAGCAGGGGTGATTTTCTTTCTCCTTTTTTTTTTTTTTAAATTTTTTATTTCCTCCTTTTTTTTTTTTTTATCTCATCCCTTTGCCTTTTCATGAGACTCTTTCAACCCTACGTACCTGTCCTTCTGCAGGATAGTAGCCCTGCCCTGAACCTGAGCCCACCACTGGGTCCTGGGAAGAGCTTAGCATAAGGATTTCTTTGAAACCCCAATATGACAGTTGCTACTGGAGATCCTGCAGATGAAGCTGCAGCTCTTCCCGGTCACCCGCAGGACACGTACAACCCTGAGACCGACCATGAGTGCTGCGAGAGGGTGGTCATCAACATCTCGGGGCTGCGCTTCGAGACGCAGCTCAAGACGCTCGCCCAGTTCCCAGAGACCTTATTAGGGGATCCTAAAAAGAGGATGAGATATTTCGACCCTCTCCGGAACGAGTATTTCTTTGACCGGAACAGACCCAGCTTCGATGCGATCTTGTACTATTACCAGTCTGGGGGGAGGTTGAGGAGGCCGGTTAACGTGCCCTTGGACATCTTCTCGGAAGAGATTCGATTCTATGAACTGGGGGAAGAGGCGATGGAGATGTTTCGAGAGGACGAGGGCTACATCAAAGAAGAGGAGAGGCCACTGCCTGAGAACGAGTTTCAGAGACAAGTGTGGCTGCTCTTTGAGTACCCCGAGAGCTCAGGCCCTGCCAGGATTATAGCTATTGTCTCCGTCATGGTGATTTTAATCTCCATCGTCAGCTTCTGCTTGGAAACGTTGCCCATTTTTCGGGATGAGAATGAAGACATGCATGGCAGCGGGCTGAGCCACCTCCCCTATTCCAACAGCAGCATGGGGTACCAGCAGTCCACCTCCTTCACAGACCCCTTCTTCATCGTGGAGACACTTTGTATCATCTGGTTCTCCTTCGAGTTCCTGGTGAGGTTTTTCGCCTGCCCCAGCAAGGCTGGGTTTTTTACCAACATCATGAACATTATTGACATCGTAGCCATCATCCCCTATTTCATCACCTTAGGGACAGAGCTGGCTGAGAAGCCAGAGGATGGCCAGCAAGGCCAGCAAGCCATGTCCTTGGCCATCCTCCGAGTCATCCGCTTGGTGCGGGTCTTCAGGATCTTCAAGCTCTCCCGGCACTCCAAGGGGCTGCAGATCCTGGGGCAGACTCTCAAGGCCAGCATGCGGGAGCTGGGCCTCTTGATATTTTTCCTCTTCATCGGCGTCATCCTCTTCTCCAGCGCCGTTTACTTCGCCGAGGCCGATGAGAGCGAGTCCCAGTTCCCGAGCATCCCCGACGCCTTCTGGTGGGCTGTGGTTTCCATGACGACTGTTGGCTACGGAGACATGGTCCCCACAACCATCGGGGGGAAAATAGTGGGTTCCTTGTGTGCCATTGCCGGCGTATTAACGATTGCCTTACCAGTGCCCGTCATAGTGTCCAACTTCAACTACTTCTACCACCGGGAGACGGAGGGAGAGGAGCAGGCTCAATATCTGCAAGTAACCAGCTGCCCAAAGATCCCCTCTTCCCCTGACCTAAAGAAAAGCAGAAGTGCCTCTACTATTAGTAAGTCTGATTATATGGAGATTCAGGAAGGCGTAAACAATAGCAATGAGGATTTTAGGGAGGAGAACTTGAAGACAGCCAATTGCACCCTAGCTAACACAAACTATGTGAATATCACCAAAATGCTAACCGATGTCTAGTAGCTAAAACCTAGTAATGTATTTAAAGCTGCAGTGGAACAATTGCAGATATTGAGTGCTGCTCTGCATTGTAGTTAACACAGTATTTTCTACGGTGTATATTTGGTTCTGCATGGGAAGCAATAGCTGTGTAAGTTACTTTTAACCTTCTATTTCCACACTGAATAAGCGTCTGTGCAAAAAAAAAAAACAAAAACAAACCGACAAACTAAACCCAAACCATTTTGTTGCCCTTCTCCCATCCCAGGCTTGTGGGTTTCCGAAGATATGGGAGGTATTTCCAGCAGCAGGATGGGGATACGAGGGGCGGCTCCGGGCTGTGCCAGATCCCTGTCCGGGGTGACGACCACCTTCCAGGGAAGGGCTGGGAAAGGTCAGGCAGAACTCGCTGAAGGGACGATGCGGGCGAGTGTCCGGGTTGCTGGAAGGCTCAGGTTTCCACCCTGGGAATGCCAAGCCCGGCCGCGTCGCCCAGGCTCGTGTTTCATAACTGAAAATGCTGCATGCTGCAATAGTTTCAGCCACTGCAGTGTGCCAGTGTGAGGCCCAGGGGAGGGATAATTAGTGTGACAGCACATTATTTATTAAGTCTTAAATTTTCTGTGCCAGGCATCGGGAGGGCCGGGTAAATAAATCAAGCACTTGGATTTTAGTATTTCTTCAGATAACACTTCCATCCCTAATATTTCCAGGCTCACCAAAGACATCTCCACTAATATGTTGAAAATGAGTTGGAAAAAGCATCTTTTTTTACATCTATATATAAAACTGGAGCAACTATGCTGTGGCCTATAATATATTTATACTGCAGTGAAATTTAACCAGTAATACAGTACAGCTGCATGGATATTTGTTGCATGAATCTGAATATTTAATACACACACAAATATATATTTTCTTAGTAGACTCTACAATATTCATGTTTATAGTGTTTATAGATTCTCCAGTGGCTCAAAGGAGATTCATGGGAGTTCAAAAATCCCAACTATAGTTAAAAACAGGATGGAGAAGGCATGTGCTGACAACAGTTGGATAGGTAACAAGGCAAAGCCTGAGTGTCTGAGCATTCAGACCCAAGAGCCAACTAGTGCAACGGAAGGTGAGCTGAAAGTTAAACACCTGCACTCATTATGGGGCGAGTAATTAGTCATTAATCTTGGTGTCAGGAGCAGAAACCACGGAGGATCAGAGAGGGCACGAGGAGCAGGTGGAATTGCTCTCTTGGCTTGTTTGTTCAGCAGTTTTCAGCCGTTCCTGTATAATTCTTGTGTGTGTGTATGTAGATATTTAGAGAGCGACTACAGGGCCGAATCCTCAGCAAACAGAGCTCTTGGGGCGTCGGGGATTTCCTGATTTAGGGGTGCTGGGATGGTGGGACATGGGTTGGAGCAGGATGACCTGCCCCGTGGAGCCCACGGGATCACCAGGGCAGGGCGTGTTTTGGGTTGGAAAACTCTTTTTCAACCACATAGAGCCCTAGGGCTGGGGGTTTATTTCTCTATGATGGAGAGGGCATGTGCTGGGGGTGGGCTGGATCTGAGCTGGTGCCTCTGAGCCTTTGCTTTGCCTTCTTCCAAAGTTTTTAGAGCAGTGAGTTGGGGTGCAGAGAGCCTGAGTTTGTCTCTGCTTCTTCATCCCTGCTGGTATTTGGGGATGGGAGCTGTTGATCCAGGGGGATCTCATCTGCTTTCCCCATTCCCATCTGGGTTTCCTTGTGTCTCCCTCATTGCTGACAATCCCCAGGGACAGGTGTCCTGTTCCTCTGATAGGTCAGGGGAGAGGGATGAAAATCTCTGTCAAGGTCGTGGTCAATCGAAGCCTCCCTGGGCTGTGGAACAAGGTTCAGTTGGGGTGAATTTGGGCTGAACTGGGGCACAGTCAGTGCTGTACCACTGCATGAAGTGTGGGCACAAGGAAGGAATCCTCTGGCAGAGCATATGGGGGAGGTCAGAGACCCTTTCTGAGCTCAGAGAGGAAAACTCTACTAAATAACAATAAACCAACCGGTGCTAACATATTCTACAGCAATGGTTCCAGATGATGCTCTGGGGCCAGATCTTGTGCTGATGTGGCTTCCTTCAGCCAGGTGGAAACACTCCTCAGTTTTGTTGGGTGGGTTGGTTGATTGGTTCCGGCCTGGCTATGATTAATACCATGGCTTGTGCACTAGAGTCCTGCCTTCTGCTTGGGGCAAAGGACCAGCAGCATCCAGGGGTTGGGGCTCAGTGTGCTCAGCACCACGGGGCACCCAACCCCTCTTTAATCTCATTATATTGGGAGCCTTCTGCTCCCACTTCCTGCAGCAGCTTGGGAATGGGAGCTTCTGAACCGCCCCCCCCCAAAAAAAAAAATCAACACAATCAAAAGCAATAAATTTTGACTCCTGAAGCTCATCATGTTGGATGGGGCAGGGCTGGCAGGAGTCTCCAGCTTGGGCACAATTCCCAGGGCAGTCAGCCAGCTCCCATTGATCCAGCTCCTGGTGGGTCCATGGAGACATGAGCTTGCATAGGGAAGCTGCTGGATGTGCTGGGATGCTGCTCACCCACCTCTGGGTCCCTCCTCACCTGGTGATCCCATTCCTGGTCTCGCTGCACGTTTTTTGGGATTCTGTCAGTTGGTGAGACTTGGCAAAGTGCCTGGTTGTGAGCTTGGGATGGTTTGGGATGGTTGGCCAAAGCCTTGGTGCACGTTGGGAGCACGAGTGCCGTTGTGGTTTGGGGAGGAAGAAGGTTGTGTTTTCCCTTGGGTAGGTGGTGTTTTGGGAATATTGTTCTCTCCAAGGCCGGGCGGGAGGGGAGAGCAGATCCGTGAGCAGGATCAGTCCTATCCAAACCTTCTCACCAAACTGGGGGGCCCAGCTGCCTTTGGAAGCCCCAGAGGTGCATTCCAGTGAAAAATGGGGCCGAAGAGCAAGAGGCCACTCCCCTGCTGTCACCAATGTGTGCTGGCATCTGTCCCCACGGCAGGGCTGGCACAGCCAGTCCTTCCTTAGGACACATCCTGCTCCTCTTGCACTGACCCCAGTAGAGGTTCCTGGGGAAGACAAGCCCTGGTGGGGGATTGGCTCTGTTCTGCACTAGTTTGGGAAACAGGGCAAACAACCAGATCAGTGCTCAGATGTTTGTTCAGGGTGGGAAAGGTCGGGGGAGGCCGTGGCTGGGAGGGATCTGTCCGTCTGCACGAAGCAGAGGGGTCCAGATTTCTCCCTTGCACACAGAAATGGTTCTCCTATAGCTTTTAATGGGATTTGTGCCTGCAGGTCGGAGCTCTAGTGCTATTTCTAGCTTTGCTTCTGACTCACTGATGTGATCTTGAACCAGTTTTTCAGGAGGAGAATGTGATATTTTTTCCTTTTCTTATTTTTTTTTTCTCAAGGAATTTGGTTTCAGAGGCTCTGGGCCTGTTTCTGTGGAGATGCTGAGCATCCCAACCTCCTCTTGACTCTGAAAGGGTGCAAACATGAGCTGCAAAATGGCTCAGACTGAGGATGCTAAATTAGGGACCGGGAAAGGGGGGGTGTCCCACCATCCATGTTTGATTGCATGAGGCCACTTAATGGAGGTGGTCTGGTTCCTTTCCTCCTCCTGAGGAGAACTTTGCCTCTCTGCAGGGTTGGGATGGAGGACTGGAGCTCTCTGGTCTGTGGAGGTGCTCCTGGAGGAGAGAGCATGTCTCTCTTAGATTATCCTTTGTGTCACAGTTTTGGAGAGATGGAAAACTGGGATTACAATGGGGGTTGTCTTCTACACCCAACCTCATCCCAAGCCTTCCAGCAACCTGTCAACCCTTTATTATCTTCCAAAATCTCTGCTAAGAGCAATGGGTGAGGCTCAAATACCAGCTGGATGCTACCATGTGATTAGGAAAACATGATCTGCACAGGGCACTGTGTTTTATTGGAAGAATTAGTCTCTGCAGAGAAATTTTGTGTCCAAGTCCTCCAGATTTGAATAGTGAGCTATAAGAAGAAGAGGATCTCTAGATTGGCGTGATGAGAGTGTGGCACGTGGGTGTATAAATATGGGCATATTTGTGCATAAATACACAGAAGGAGAGAAAAAGACAGAGGAGGAGGAGATATTTCAGGAAGGGCCTTGCTTTGTTATCGGATAATTCCTGGGTCAGCCCTTGAAATCGCTGCCAAAATCTTCTAGCTTTCCCAGAGCTTGCAAAACACTTGGGGATGGGTCCAAGTGAAGGAGAGCTGGATTTGGCTTTGGAAACAGGAGTTTCCCAAGGGGCTGGGGACATTCATCTCCTTGCAACCCTCTGCAAACCAGCAGTCTCTGCTCCTGATCCTGAATCCCCACCTTGGGCCCATCATGACCATTTCTGTGACTGTGCAGGGAAAGCCAAGGAGAAGGTGAAGGTATTTGGTGGTGATGCAAGTGCTGTGTCACCAGGTGGGGTTTTGAGGTTATTTTTTTTAATGGGTGGATTTAAGTCCCTTGAACTGTGGCAACTTTTGGTCCCAGTGTGGTAGCTCCTGTTTGGAGCCAGGGTAGGTTTATCATGGATTTATGGAAGGGTTTGGTTAGAAGGGACCTTAAAGCCCACTCCCTGCCATGGGCAGGGACACCTTCTAATGGACCAGGTTGCTCCAAGCCCTGTCCAACCTGGCCTTGAAACCTTCTCTCAAGGTCTACACCCATGGGTGTAGTTTTATCTATGACGGTTATCCATGGTGGTTATCCATGGTAGTTTTCCATGGTAGTCATCCATGGGAGCTGGTCAGTGTGCTGCCAGGGTAAAAAGGGCTGAGAAAAAAGGAGTCAGCCCCAAACCATTTTGTTGTGCACCTAAAATAAGGCTATGGCTCTCTCTTTGCACCCCTGGCAGCATCTGACCTTCTCCACATCTGTCACATCCCTTGGTTGCTCCTGTTGGGCACCAGCTGCTGCCAATGCCAGGAGGCCCAAAGGGGGACAAGGGTCTCCCCCAGGGTCCAGCCTCTGGCCAGAGCCCTGCCCTTCCCCAGCCCATGGCCTCAGTGTCCCTGTGACGTTACTGCCCAAATTTCACCCCCCTGCTCAGAACGGAGCTCCCTGATCCTGCCTCATCCCACCCGAGCGGAGAGGGACCAGCCTGCAGTGATGTGAATCCTCCCTGGGAGCACAGCACTGATTTATACCCAGGGACAAGATCCCCCAGCCCAGCTGTGTGTGATGAGAGAGAAATTCCGTATCCGTGTTTTTCCTCTGGAGAGGGGATGGTTTGGCTTGTAGGAGCTGCTGGACGTTGTGTAACCACCCAAGGCCCACACACGAGGTACTACGTCCCCTCCCCAGCCCTGCCTGGCTGTCCTGAGCTTGGGGTTGGTCTTTTGGGGTTTGGGGGTTTTTTTTTTGATTATTATTATTATTTTTTAATATCTTCTGCTGCCTATAAGACTGTAATTATCGGTTTGCTCTCGCTCCCTCGTTGCTTGAGACCACGCTCTTGTCCTCCAATGTCATCCCCAAACAGCAAGGGGAAAAAAATGGGTATTGGATCAACCCTGCATGTGGTGCCTAATTCGAGCGAATCAATAGGAAGAGGAAATCCAAGAAGGACTCATCCTAAGGATGCTGGAGCTGAACCTTTTGTTTCCATGGTTACGGGAGGAATGGGACCAGGAATGGAGAGAGGCCTCTAAACTGGTAGGAATTTCAAGTCATTTAACCATGCGTTTGCTAGACAAAAAATTTAGACACCAGCTGTACCTGAATTGCACAGTGTTTATAGACGTTCCT